CCTGCCGACGCAGGGCACGCACGTAGCCCTGCAGAGCCTGGCACGGCCAGTGCCCGTGGGGTGGGGCAGTGCGTGCGGGGGACTGCGGGAGAGGGAGGAAGGCTCTGGTTCATCACACCGACTTCGTTATTAGGCCAAGGAGCAGTTCAGCCAGGAGATCCAAGTGAGCCTCAGTGAACTGCATCCTAGGATAGTTTTTGAAGGATGACCGGTGCCAGCAGAGACTCCAGCCCACCTGCTCCTCCAGCCACCCAGCCTGCGAGCACGCTGGCTGGGGGCGGTTGCGGGCGCCGCAGTGAGTGACTGCCGGGAGCTGGCAAGCCGTCCCAGCACGGGGGGCCGGGGCTGCTGGCAGCGCAGGAGAAGGCAGAGCCTGTGGGACTGGGCTTGGAGCAGCGCCACGTCCCGCAGCCTGTGCTGGAGGAGTGGAGCACCCAGAGAGCCACGGAGCGAGCTCCCTGGGAGATTCGTCCTGCTGCTTGCTAAGGGGTTTCCTGCCTTTTCGGTAGTTAAAATTTTGTAACTAATTACCAGCTGCCTTCCTATTCCTCATAGCCGTGCTTTCCCCTGGTGCTGGGAATCTTCTCTCGCAGCAGGGCAGGAAGCCAAATCTGCTTGAACGTGCTTGTGCTGGGCACAACGCAGATGCTGAGACTGTGGGGATTCCTTTCTTACACGGCCTGGTAAACTGCGTTGCTGCGCTCTGTCCTTTCGCTGCCGTGCCCTGCGCGTAGCCTCAGAGCGTGCTTGGAGAGGGACCGGGCTCGTGCTGGTATGCAGTCTCAGGCTTTCTCCTTCCCTGATCAGAGAGCAGAACAGGACATTCAGGCGGGTGCTCTTGTTGCGTATTTAAACCTGAGCACAGGAGCGTGCACCTTCCACGTTGCCTTAGGTTTGCTCTCGGTCCTCCCCACATCCCCTTGGCTGCAGGGAGATCCAAGCACATGTGCAGCATTGGTGTTCTCTGGGCCAGGCAAAACGCTTCGGCCGCGCTCAGTAGGATAACAGACGTTAAAACTAGTGTATGGATTTTGGCCTCAGCCACGTGTGGATCTAAATGCCATCCCTGGGCTAGAGGGCAGCGCTGGGGCAGAGCTGGGCGTCCCGGGAGTCCCTGTGCCACTCACCTGCGTCTCCTGCACCGCAAGACCTGTGCTGCAGACACCCTGCGGCCCCAGTGGCTCCTCTCGCTGCTGTAGGCTACAGGTCTGCTGGGTTTCCCGCTGTCAGACCTTGGAATTGAGGAGTTGGCATATCTGCTGCTTCCTTACGGTTTAAAAAGCAGGGAGAGGGAGAGAACTGAGGCTTTTGGCTGAGCTAAAGCCAGCTGTGCTGGGAGGCAAAGCATGGGCCTTCTTGAGAGTTGTCATCTCGGTTTGTGCATCTGGAATGATGGTGCCCTGCTAATACACATTGTTTGGCCATTTTAAAAATACTTCCTTTTTTGTTATTATCAGGACAAAGGTGCTGCTTTTTTTTTTTTTCCCGTTTTACTTTTCTGAAAATTTTTTCCCCGTTTTACTTTTCTGAAAGAAGGCAGGAGCTGCCCTCGTCATTGTGTCAGCTTGGGCTGAACTAAAGGCCTGGCTGAACAGGCTTTAAAGTTATTCCTGGGTAACATTTGAGATAAAAGACCAGCAGAACCATTGAAACATGAGGTCAGGTTCTGATTGCGGTTGTCCTGGAGAACTTGAGAGAGAAATAAAGAGCACGTGTTCAGAAGATCACGAGTCTGATCCTCTGCCGCTCTGTGGAGTGTAAGGTTGGCTTTTAAAGTCAGTGCCTGCCGGCAGCGAGTAGGAGAGAGCACCTGCGCGGGTCCGTATAGCTGGGATTTTCAGAAGTGTGTATGGGATTTTGATTCCCAATGGCAAAACGTAACTTTACAATATGGACAGGCTATACATGGCTTTCCAGATTTCACTTATTTTGTCTCTTTTATGCTTACAGTAAGTGCTGACTTGGGCTGGGGGACAGGTTCTCTGTCCTGTTACTATTCAGTCCCACACTACTGGCTGAAAGTCTCATAAAACAGTCCCTCTTTGGAGATCAGCCATTGTTTTTCTGCTGCACTGCTCAGTAATTGATCCCCATCAGATCTACGTGGTTTATATTTCCCATCAGTAGTACTGGGTAGCGTTTGGCATTTTTGTGTACTGTGCTGGCACAGCTTCTCTTCCCTCTCGGTGAACGTATCGGATTCCAGCTCTGAGTCGGCATTAGCAGAAGAGGGAACATACACTGTTCCTTCCACGTGACTTCAGGATTTCCCCCGTGATGCGGGGTGTTGTTGGCTCTTCGCCGTCTCTTCTAGGTCCGGAGCTCTTGCTGTGGTGTGTGTTGCTCAGAAGCTAGTTAGTACATGTGTTTTCTGACCACGTAGAAATTCCCTCTCCATGATTTATGTGCTGGTTCTGCAAATGCACCGTGATTTTATGTAGACCTACTTGGGCTTGTGTGCCTGAAGCTTGTCTTTTTTCCCCAGTTACTGTCAGTTGGTTTAGTAACAGATTCTCTCTCTTCCTATGCACCTTGTATTTGAAATACTTCAGTGTCTGTGGTTTATCTTCCTGCACAAGAGCAGAGTTTTCTGCACAAGGTTTCTGTCTCAGTGCAGGGATGTGGGTATTTTCCACTTCTCATTCCATGGTCAAGGTTCAGTAGCTGTGCAGGAGCACTGCTGTTTGTGTAGATGCCTCCTTTCCTTAGGGATGCTTGGGAATTCCACCTCTCTTTGAGTGGCCAACTGACCGTGGTCTTGTGTTCTCTCACCTGGAGATCAGAGGGAACTGCACCTGTTTCCCTCCCTTTGCACCTTCCCACCAGTCTGAGGTAAGCCTTGCTCCTCTTCAAGTATTTTGGAAGGCAGGTGAAGCAAGGCTGGCGCTGGGAACTGAGTACTGGACCCGTCGCTCAGTGTTGAAATGCAACAAGGAGCTTCCTTGGGCTGAAAGAGAAGAGAGGAGTCCTGGTTTATGTCGCTGCACCTCCAGCACATCCCTCTCTGGGAGCCCGGACAGTCTGCTTTGAGGTCCACCAGTGCTCTGCATCCAGGAGGCGTTTGTTGGTGTGCTTGCAGAGGGCCTGTCTTTGGATGCACGGACTGTCCGTGCCCTCTGCTCAGCTTAGGGAAGGGTCTGTGCTGGGAAGGGTCTGGCTGCCACCTTACAGGTACGAGTCACAGTCACAGCTCAGTGCTCTTGGCTCTTAAGTTTTTAGTTCTGCTGGGGAGGAGAGAGCGCGAGAAGAAGAATGCAGGAAGATCATCTCATTTCCTGTCTTCAGAGTGGCAGAAATACTTTTTATCCAGAGAGAAAGCCTTACAGCTTTTCCTGAGGAGTTCTCGGCTTTGGACTTACCCCGGCATTGCAGGGCCTCACAGTTTTCCTTCAGAAGGCAGAAAGCAGTTGGGCAAAGTGACCCTTCAGGGTTTTGTGGCCAGCTCTGTTCCTTCCCCTTCCTGCCCGAATTTGAAGGTGTAACGATAGCTGGACACAGCTTACACCGGGGTAATTAAAAACCCCGAGCTGTGGGAGTGACCAGGTTAGTGTGGATTATACTTGTCTTTGTTCTCCTCATATTTCTTTTTCTTCCCTCTGTTTTTAGACTTTAAAGAGGAAGGAAAAAGAATACGAACATGAGATGGAGCGGCTGGCAAGAGAGAAGATTGCTACCCAGCAGCGACTGGCCGAGTTGAAGAACGAGTTGAGCCAGTGGATGGACATCTTGGAGATTGACAGAATTATTCGACAGACAGTTCAGCCAGAGGATGACCAGGCATCTACCTCCACAGCATCAGGTACCCACTGTTTTTCTCTTCTGGTGATCGTCACTGTACGTCACTGCCGCAGTTACCTCGTGGTGGTGGGGATCTTCATTGAGCACCATCAAGGTTTCTTTGCATTCAGAATAAAGTAAAAGGTTTTCAAGTGGTTTGCACATTGATGTTGGCCTAGAATCGCTGCTGCTTGTGCAAAGCCAACTGAGAACCGTGCACCAGCGTTAGGGAGATACAAAGGCGGGTTTGCACATTCAGTCTGCGGTTACCTCGTGTGGAGATCTGTGCTTTCCAGACGTAGTTTTCCTCTTGGGCAGCTGTGCATCCCTGCTTGTTAGAGCTGAGCGGTGTACGAGCATCATGGTGTATTTGTGCGTGGATGTGGGAGGGTGTTCAGCCACGTACAGAAGGAGGAGTTGATACAGGAAGGATCACCAGAGCTTTTGAACAATTAATCAGCCTTCACGTTGTGTGAAAAGGATTCACAGTGAAGATGAAACGGTACTAACGGATCTCTGACATGCTGTTCCCGGTGCGAAGTCTCTGTGAGATAGCAGAGTGCATGCTTTTCTCCTTCCCGGCGGTCGTAGGCAGCCCGTGCATGTGCGGCGTGGTGCTTTCCAGAGATGAGGAGGCTGTAGCCGTCCTTAACCATTTGCAGCAGTTCCTGCAAGTCGTGACAGCATTTGCTCTTGGCACTCCAGGCAGACGATCCAGCGGGTTCCAGGAAGGGAAAACCTGAGTTTTCTAGTTCATTCAGGCTCGTATCGGGCTCATCACCTTTGATGTACCCGCAGACTCCGAGCGTAGGCCGATGGAAGTTGAGAGTAGGAGCGCTTTGCCGACAGGGCTGTCAGCATTCACCTCTCCAGCTGGCCTCTGCTGAAACGATCGCTTCGCGCTGCTACTGACACGCAGCTTGCAGAAGGGAAGGGTCTTCCCTGGTCTTCCTGCTGCCTCTGTATCTTCTGAGATTTTTAATCTCTGCTGCACGGCTGGCTTTGGAGCGGGCAGTGCGAGGTGCCCTGCTCGTCTTCCCGATCTCCGCAGAGTCAGCATGTTCCTGCAATTGCTTCTTCAGTTCCTGGACTGGACGAGAGTCCATTTTCCAGAACCAGATGAGGAATTGCTGCCATGTTTCTCCATGGCCGTTTCCTTCCTGCTCTGGGAGCAGAAGGGGTGGTACCGATCAGTGGAACAACTGGACAGGACAGGAAACCTTGTTCCTCTTTCCCGGAAGGAGCCCTCTTCAGCCCAGGTGCTCTCCGTCTGCCTCTGCTCGCGTTGCTTCCCTTGCCTGTGAGCAGGCTCCCTTCGAGCTAGGCTCGCTTGCCCAGCTCCATGTCCTTGGCCCACGGGCAGAGAGGAGAGGGGTTTGCTGCCCCACTGGGGCCCGCTGGAGCATGCCGTGCTGTGCTGCCTGCCCGTAGCTCAGTGACTCCTCCTGCTGTTGTCTCTTCTGCCTGTGCTGCCTGTTAGGGAGCCTGCTTAGTCCAGTCGTGCTCTGCTTTCTTTTTATGGGAGTATCTTCCTTTCATTTTTTCCAGAGGGTGAAGACAACATGGACGAAGACATGGAAGATGACAGGCCAGTGAACTCATTACCAAAACTAACGCAGCGCCAGCACCCCGAGCTCCTGAAAGCCGTCCCCTCAAACGCTGCCTCCCAGCACCCAGCAGTCCTGCCGCAGCACCTGCCCATCCAGCAGAAACAAGCCCCAGCCCACGCACAGCCTCCCATCCAGACCCA